CAGCAGCAGCAGCAGCAGCAGCAGCGGCAGCAGCAGCAGCATCCGAACAGAAAATAAAATACAGGTGAAAACGCTCGACCAGAATGGGAAGAATGAAAAAAACATAAGCCGGTTCCCACGGCAGGTGTCAGCAAAGCGCAAGAACCAGCAAGGTGAATGAGTCTGAGCTGTTGGATCTAAGCAGCCTTTCACCCTCCAAACGGGTTGGGCTGCGGCTCTCAGAATCTCCAGCCAGGGTTGGGGAATTCTGCAGGAGGCCGGACCGCGGGGGCTGCTTTGCACATTGCTCCCACATTCCCCCCAAACCGGGGACGCGAATTCCGCAGAGCTAGAGTTCCCCACAATCTGCCTGCTTCGAACTTTTTCTGGGTTCAGGCGTTGCATCTTTGGAGGGGCATAGCAGTGGCGTGAAGGCAGGGAGGAGGGATCTCTCTCCTTCCTGTGGGCTTTCTCTTCACCCTGGAGAGGGATGCCTGAAATACCTTCTCCTCCCTGGGATTGTTCAGTTCGTAGTTTCCATACAGGTGTGCTTTTGCTCAAAAGCGACTGTGAAGGTGCTGATCCGGAGATCCTTCCATTACTGCTTATGGTCAGGGGTCCCGGTGATGCTGGATTGAAGCTCCAACGCACATTAAAAACAGAGGACCTTCGGTTGCACCGTGATGGCCACAACTCGACATTTCTGACCATACCCTGCGGGCATTCCCCGCTTAGGGTAGCAGTGCAAAAACGGGAAGTAGCTTGACTTACTCTTGCATTGCCCCAGGTTCTGCAGAAATCATGTCTTCTCAAGCGAGTTACGTCCTGACGTGGGACCAGAACAGTAAGCGAACCTTAGCGAGCGCTCAGTTACAGTTCTCGTCGTGGCGTCCGCAGACCGGGCTAGGTCGGCTAGCTTTAGCTCTGATTAGTGTTCTTGTGGAAACCCAGTTTGCCCAGGTACCTCGTGATTTGATCTATCGGGTGAACCCGGAAAGTATGTTGATAACCAGGTTAACCATTAGCGCACACCCAGATGCTGGTTGGGCGAACCCGACAGATCGCACTGCCCGTGCCGTGGCCTGCGAGGAGCAGAGGCAGGCGACGCCAGCGAGCGCAACGGACACCTCGCCGCTGCCCGCTGGACGGACCGCTTCCTCCGCTCGAGGTCCAGGGGCTTCTGGCGCGCTGGGCTGCGCGCTAAGCACGCGGGGCGGACCCAGGCACCGCAGAGAAC